CTTCATCCCTTTAACGTAAGATAAGGCAACACTATGTCAATGGAACCACTGGCTGCCATAACCACCAAGAAATAAACAAAAAACATCACTGCAAAAGCCTATTAACCAAAATTCTTAACCCAGCTTTTCACCTTTCAGGATATGCAACCCTTGATGGAGGTATTATTCGTGCTGTACTGTAATGCAGTACTAAAACATCTGCTTTCCACATGATTAATTTAACAAATAAGTCAACAAACTGACAGACTCTGAAACAGGACACGGCAGCACACAACAGCCCAAGTGTTGAGGCTCTCTAGTATGTCAGGTTATTGTCTACAAACTTCGAGGGGAGCCAGAACAAGACAGCCATAGAAACAAGATGGCACTCAGCAGTAACATTATTGACTAGTTATACTCTTATAATAACCATATGGCACACTGCTTTCTTCAAGCTCATTTCATAAAACATCACTTTCATTATAATACAAGACCGTCTACCAAGCAAAAAATACTCAAGTCTGAATTTTCCTCTGCCCAAGTGCATGGGAATTTTTAATCCAACAAATGAACTCATTTGAACTATGAGCATATGTCTATACAAAATGCTTTAGAACCGAAGATTTTGCTTCTTCAGAACATTATTAATTACCTCTGAAGGCCTTGCTAGATTTCATTTGCAAATAGCTAGACACCATATGGGAGAAAACTACAAACTATTTCTGCCTCCTGACATACCAATGGATTTTTAAATCTGTTCAACCTTGCCACAGGTAGAATTTTTAATGCTTTCACAAGCAGCTACATTTACAAACTTGAATATTTTCTAAAGTCTACAATACATTCTAGTAGATTAGACCAACTGCAATTAACTTAAACAACAAAAACACTGAAAACTGCATGGAAATCAAAAGGTTCAAAAATGTAACAACCTGATTTTTCTAAAACAAATGAGAATTACACAAGGTTCCTAAAGCAAACCTAGGTACCTAGGCAAATCATAGTATCCATCTATTACACTATATTCCAGCTTCTTTTATAAAAAGACATCAGAAATAAAAAACTAACATTCAGGTATCTCTGTAAAGCAATTCAAGTATCGCTATAAAGCAAATTCTATTTTTAATTAGTACTACAAGATTAACACACACTCATACTCTAGGGTAAACCATTTCTAGTCTTACATTAGCCATCCTAAAGGCAATGAGAAGATATTCCAGATTCTAAACTGGAGAGATTTCCTTTATAGCAGATCAGTTAACTAAGACTTCATGAACAGCATTTTTGAGCTGCATCAAATAAATAATATGAATATGAAGACCAGATAACAGGAACAGAAACAAAAGAAGGCTACTATAATATTGATATACAGCATCTACACAAAACTGTATCTGAGCAGACAGATGGTAGATAAAGTTTGTAAGTAGGCTCCACATTTGATTCCCTTGCTATTAATAGAAGCCTAGGCTGCGGAGGCCAAGGTTATATCAGGCTAGACACACTCCAGTTTCCTAAGTCCACCATGAAGGCCTCCTAACTTTGACGTGCAAAGCATTACCTTTGTAATTGTGCAGTTGATTTGTATACACAAAGTTAAAATATTATCTAAACATGCTGCATTGTAGCAATTCAAGTCAATAGGTAAAACCCACTGTGTTTGCACACAATAATGGTTTTTACGTTGGTGAAAGTTTATTTTACTTTGTCTTGTACAGCAAACAAAGTTTCTAGTTCACTTAACTGCAATGGCTTAACATCAGTTCTTGCCCACACAAGTAGAAGTGACCTTATGTTAAATGCAGGCTCCACATGTGCTGCCATGTACTGCCCTCCTTTTATGTCCAAGAGGAATGGAAAGTCTGCTGCACAATGCCAAGTGTTGTTCTGAACAAATATTCATTTGTTCAGCAATTCTTCAGCTTTAGTGACCAAAACTCCTGAAGGGACCTACCTCACAAACAAGACAAGTTACTCTCAAATTCTACCATTAAAAGTAATAACCAGGGCACACAGAAATGAGATTGTTACTCCCTTGGGGTGTGCATCTGCTTACATTGCAAATTTAAGAGCATTTTTTATTTCTTCTTTATTAACTAGATTTCCTCAAGAAGAAAACTTTTTAAAATAAGAAAAGACAACTGTGAAAGCTATACAGTCTGGGATGAGCACAGCATCACAAGTCATGTTAGCATTCACCCTAAGTAGATCAATTTGTGTGTGCTCTGTTAAAATCCTGCCACTAAGAGGAGCCCTAAGTCTATTCCACAATGAACAGTGGAAGAAGTATTAATTTTTTTCCTGTTTCTCAAGATCAATGGAAATTCTTACTTCAGTGATGCTGAGGAAAGCAGAATCACCACAAGTTGAAGAAGAACTGATAAAGAAAGAATCACTTCAGCAGTAGCAACTTGAAACCACTGAAGATTACTGAAAACAAAAGGAGGAAAAAAATTCCAACTTTGCAGTAAGTCTATCAACAAGAAAAGAGTCCACCAAAAAAGAATGAATAAACGACAGAGGCAGATTGCAACGACAGAGGCAGATTGCAAGACAAAGAAAAGGTGAGAAAAGCGTAAGAAACAAAAACTGAAGCCACCTCAAGGCCTGCAGCAGCAGAACAGTGATTACAGACACAAAGAATTGGAGTCAAGGCAACAACATTCAAGAAACAGAAAAAGCAGAATTAATGAAATCTTTAAGCAGGAATGCAAAAAGAGAAGGAATCTTAATATGTTGAGTGAGTGATACAGAGTTATAGCCTGTAAAGCTGCAAAACCAAGAAAATAACCAAGGAAAATGTTTTAAAACTTCCCTATGTTCCTAGTGTTTTCTGCTAGGTATGCCACAACTTCGAATTCAACAGCATACCATGTCATCCAGGCTAAGACAGTCAAGACAGACTATTCCACAAGGTTTGTCAGAAGAGAATCCTCATTCGAGCACTCCAAACTGTCATCTAGTGAAGCCTTTACCTAGCTGGTGAATCGACAGGAACACAGGGAGCTCCGAAAGACACTCAGTTGTAAAATTTGAAGTTTACTGGCTAGGTATAACCTTCATCTAGTAACTGGTTGACTGATCTTTCCTTTCACCATTGAGCACATATCAGAACAAAGGAGGGTTTAATGAGGTACCCGTTCCCTCTTCTTCTGACCAGGCATTTCAGTCTTACCTGCAGTAGGTCAGGATACAAAAGACCTTTGACTTCCACAAAAACCTGCCCGGTTATATTCATCCAAGCGCTACCACATTCCTTGATTTAAAGCTAAGGTGGCAAAATGAATTGCAGACTGGGAAATCACACAAAAATGCGTCCCTCTTACTCAGTCTGTTCACTTTGGCTTATCTGCTCACATGCTGTCCCAAAGTATTTTGACTTCTCGGCTAGCTGTGTTAGGCCAAGGCTGCTAGCTGGAAGCTGACAGGTACTGCCTCCCATGCACTCTGCCTTATCAACTTCCCTAAAGGCTGGCACTGGGTGCAAGGGCAACAAGGTTCGCACGAGCGTCCTAAAAAAAGGCACACCCACATCAACAAAGCCACCTTGCCGAACCCCGGCGGACTCCTCGCTCGGCCCGCAGTCCGAGCCGCAGCCAGGGATGGAGGCAGGCGGCCCGGGAGGCGGCAGGGGCCTCACCCCCTGCCCTCCCTCAGGGCGGCTGCGGGCCGGGGCCGCGCTCCCGGCCCGGTCCGGGCACGGCTCGGCCGCCCGCGGGCCCGCCCCCGCCGGCAGGTGCCCGCCCGCCCCGCCGCGGCCGCCCCGCGCTCACCCGGCCTCCCGCATGACGTTGCTGTCGCCGCAGTCGCAGGCGCCCCCCGCCTGGCTCCGGAACATGTTGTAGTCGTGCCCGGCGTGCTCTCCCTGGTGGAAGCACTCGGCGCACAGGCTCATGCAAGGCGAGATCCCGCACGTCCGGCACCGGTAGGCCACGAAGTTGGCGGTCCAAACCAGGCCGCATAGCGTGGCGGGGTCGTAGGCCCGCACGGCTTGCACGAAGCTGTCCCAAGGCTCCCCGCCCGACAGCAGGCAGCGGCACCACTCCAGCGCCTCGCCCGCCGCCTCGCCACCGCCGGGGCCCGCCGCCGGGGCCAGCACCAGTTCCAGCAGCGTCCGCAGCTCCGCCGCCGCCGCCGCGCCGCTCTCGCCACCCAGCGCCGCCTTCAGCCGCGCCGCCGTCTCCCGCTTGTCCCTGCTGCTGGCGCCGGCCCCCGCCATGACGGGACACCGAGGGGCCGTTACGGCCGCGCCGGGCTCCGGGTCCGCGATCCCTCCGCCGCCCTCGCTCCCCGCCCCGCGGCGCCGCCCTCTCGCGATAGCCGCGGCACCGGCGCCCTGCCCGCCGCCCGCGCCCCCCTCCCGACACCGCCTCTCCCCTCCCCTGACACCACCCTCCTCTTCCTCCGCCCCTGCCCTCCCGCCGCCCTCCCAGCGCGCAGGTGCGCGCCCCGCGCCGCCGCCGCGCGAAATGTCGCCGCCCGCCGGCCCGAAACTTCGCGTTCCCGGGGTCCCGGCAGCCGCAAGAGCGTGGAGGGTGCACCTGGGCCGGTCGGCGGACCCGACGGCAGCGGAGCTCGTTTGTTACCGAGCCGTGCCTGCAGCGAAGCGGCTGCCGTGAGACGCCTCGCTGCCGCTCGTGTGTCCTGGCCACAGGGGTCCCGCCGGGCTCAGGTGGTGGCGGCTTTGAGGGCAGGAGCAACTGCGGGGAATGTGGGAGGCGGCACCTGTGAGGCTTCGGGCCGGCTGTTCTGCGCTCGCTGCCATCAAGCGGCCCCGCTGTGGGAGTAGAGCAGCGCCGGGCTCCGGTGGCAGCACCGCACCCCAGGGTGGTCGCAGAACCGCGCCCCGAGGTACCAGCGTGCGGCTGCCTGCGCCCTGCGACCAGGAGAGAACGCATGTGGATGCGAGTAATCGTGTTTCGCACACCGATCGGCGGCTTTAAACCTTGATAAATAGATTTTCAACTGTGCAATGGAAAGTCTCATACGAAAAGATCTGTTCCTAAGTGACAGTAACCTTCTACCCGACAGCTATGGGCCTCAAGGCAGCTGCCTCGCTTCTTGCTTTGCCTGCGTTTCCTACGGCTGCCCGTCTGCTGGCGGCTTGTGTCGCGCTGCGGTTCCAGGTGAATGTTACTCCTCTCCACGACCGCTTTTCCCAGCGCGCCAGCAAAATTCCAGTTCCTTGTTCTGTCCCTAAGGGCACTCAGGAGCGGGACCACCGAAAAAGCCCGCTCTGCCAGGTGTGTCCCCGGCGCTTTCACAGGCACCGCTCAGCGGTGGCACGTAAGGCTGCAATAAAATGTCTCGTGTTTATAATAAACGAGACCAAAGCTCGCACTTGTTAGCGCCACACGGGGAAGCTCCCTGGCGGTTCATTCCCGCAGGTGCCCGTCAGCCGGGAAGGGGCGGGGCGGCGCGTCGGAAGTCGGAAGTGCGCGGTGGCGCTCGGAGCGCCTGGCCGAGCTGCGGTGAGCGGGCCTGGTACCGAGCGGGGACGGCGCTGGGCGGGAGCGGACGGGGCAGGTGGCGGCGGTCGCTGGGGCCCAGCTCCTGCCCCGCCTAGGGCTGGGCGGCGGGCGGGCCCGGGCGGTAGAAGCGGAGCCCGGGGCCTGAACTCCGGGAGCCGGTGAGGAGCGGGGCTGCCGCCGCCCGGGCATTTCCCCATCATCGGTGCGCCACCAGCTGCGCCCCAGGAAACGGCGGCGTGAAAACACCCAGGAGATGCTGAAGAGCACCAGGGGGTTTTATGTATGAAATAATTTAAGATCATACGTGGTTTATTTATATTGTTGTAACTGATTACACGTTATTTTCTTTAGTAAAACCATAAACATGAAGAAATTAAAGCTTAAAGAACTGGAAAGCTGTCTTCAACAAGTTGATACTTTTGAAAATCCAAAGCTACTCCTTGAACAGTATCCAACAAGACCTCATATTGCAGGTACAGGTGACACACACCACTGTTTTCTATTTTACTATTTCATCAACACTTTTAATTTCTACTGCATTGTCTGAAGGTTTTACACTACACAGTAGTTAAGAAAGCATATCCAGCAGGAATGTGTATAGTAGTACTCTCGTAATGTCTGTCTTTGTTTGAAAAATGCAACCTAAGACAATGTCCCATCCAAAAATCAAATTAATTAATCTAAAAGGTAATGTTGTGATTGAAGCAGTCGTAATGTGTAACTGTAGAAGCTGAAATGGAGCTATGTCATGACTCACAAAAGTAAAAGTATATATAGAGATGCTCATCTATACCCTTAATTATGCTCTTTTCCATATTTTACATCCTTCTATTGTTTTTCCCCAAAAAAGTTTAGAGGCATACTTTTTCCACAAGCAATACTTAGAGCTCTGTCTCTCCACCAAAGATCCAAAGTTTGTGACTTGTCAAAATGTTTTTGACTCTTCACATATAAATAAAAAAGAGAATTACAGGCAGTGAGAACATCATTTTAACTAAAGGGGTTTTCTAATGCAAAATTAAGACTTTTCTGAAGGCAGAAACAGCTTTTCTTGATTAATCACATCATATTTGGTATCATTGACCTGTTTTGTTTGGGTTTTCTTTTCCCCAGCATGTATGCTTTATACAATTCACAATACTTTTGATGATATTGAAAACAAAACAATTGCAGATTTAGGATGTGGTTGTGGCATGCTCAGCATTGGAAGTGCAATGTTAGGAGCAGGGTAAGTATTTAATATTTCTGGTTATATTTCTTTCTGGCATAGAAAAGTAGAAAGTAAGATTAAAACATAGCACTGCTGAACTAAAACATTTCAGGTTTATAATCTGGTTCATAATCAGGCTAACATTTACCAAATTTTGACTATCGATAGCCATTCATACTGTGAAAGTGATGGACAGCTGTCATTAATTTGGAAGTCATTTGCTTTCCCCATAAGCATTAAATGAAAACATGAAACTCCCTTAACAAAATTTAGATTTATACTTGAGAAAAGGCAAGAGAACTACTTGCATTTTTATCAGCACTGAATGTATTATGTATGCTTATTACATTTCCTAGATAAACCAAGTTGTGTACACAGATCCCTAATGTAGAATTTAAACACCATTTTAGTTTGCAGTAGACTAATATGTGCATGTTTCTTAATAGATTCTGTGTGGGCCTTGACATAGATGCAGATGCACTGGAAATATTTAATAGCAATATTGAAGACTTTGAGCTGACGAATGTCAACATGGTTCAGTGTGACATCTGTTCTCTATCTGACAGCATGCCAGATACTTTTGACACAGTTATTATGAACCCTCCGTTTGGTACCAAGCATAACAAAGGTTGGTAATTGTGAAGCTCAGTTAGAAATGATCACAAACCAAACAGCAAGAGAAATGCTTTCAATGAAACAATCCCTTGTTTATTACTTTATATTGTTTATATTATAATTTCTTAATGTTTTGTTTATCTGGAACCAGCTTCCTAAGATTAGCAACTTCAGCATTGTAACTAACAGTCACTGGGGTTTGAAATAAATATTAGATATTTCATATCCATATAATTTTTATTTTATTGAAAGCAATTGAGTATGTTTTAGAAATACTTTCTGTACCTTAATGTATTCAGTGCTGTTTCTCAAGTAGCTATTATTCCAGAAAAAATTCAGCAGATCTTTACACTTCCATTTAACAATTCTAATAATTTCATTATTGTTTTAGGAATTGATATGATTTTTCTGAAAACTGCTCTACAAATGGCAAAAACAGCTGTATATTCCCTTCACAAAACTTCAACACGAGAAGTAAGTTCTTCATTTTAGTAGGGCAAGAACTAACCAGACAACGAAATATTTGGCTATATAGATGTCTATAGCTTCACTGATTTGTCAGCTACTTTGTGGGGTATGTTTGGGATAAATACTAATTACATCAAATAACTGCAATCTCACATACATCAAGATAGTTATGTGACCTAATGCTTTGGCTTGAAAATCAAAAGCACAGGAGACTTAATAAGTACAGAGGTGTAGATGTTTATAGAACAGGTAATTTTAAAAGCTCATTTTTACTTGTAGCACATTCAAAAGAAAGCAGCAGAATGGGAAGTGAAGATGGAAGTCTTAGCAGGTAATATTTATTTATTTTTAACAGGAAAAAACCCTAATATCTTTTGGTTTTGTACATTATCTCTAACACTATTAGCCAGTCATAACAACCCAAGATAAATTCAAGTGTGATTTAACACAGAAATGACACGGGTCTTTCTCTTTTTAGCAGACTTTTAAAATGGTTTAATTTTTTGCTACCTGGCTAGAATACAAGCAGGCTTAATAAAGCAGAGCTTAATAAAGCTCTGATAAATACATATTCTGTGCAGAATTAGGTTTGTTCCTGGACTAGATTTTGTTTTCAAGCAGAAGTTACCTCTTCCTGCTTCAAAGTGCATGTTGCTGAAAAAGAAAGTGAAACACAGGTCAGTTCTCACACACGAAAACAGCATCCTGTCCTTAGCCACCTATATATTTTTGCCAGTTAAGTATCTTCCAAGTTCTTCTGATAACCAGATGCTTTTTACAATCATAAAACTTGGGACATGAAGCTGCACAAGTGCTTGAAACACAACTGCCATCCACTTAACTGTGTGATATGGCCAGCTTCAATGTTTAGTCATAATGAAGTGCAGAGATAAAACAGGTATGACAGGCCACAACAGATGCAGACATTGGAAACAGAAGCACATGGCTGTAGGGCCTAAGGGACTGATTATCATCCTAGTCTAACATGTATTCTTTATACTGTTCACAGAACTTAGGTTTGACTTACCAGCATCATACAAGTTCCATAAGAAGAAATCAGTAAGTATAAAACCTAACATAACTTAGAAAATGCTGAGATAAATAAATTCTCCTTAATGAGATTGAAGTTTTAGGGCCATAAAGAATGGTCACAGCATTCAGTGGCTCCTTGCTGTTACTCAGTTTGGTAGCTGAACAGGGAAAAGCATCATGATAATGCCAGAGCTGTACACAAAGTTGAAAGCAGCACTGCAATTAGATGTGAAGCTAAGGGCAGCCTCCCTGACTCGACTCCTCTTAGCTCTTAGCTCAATGCTGTCTGCAGCTCAGACTGGAGTGGATGCAGAGCTGAGGGCCACAGTAACAAGGATGTCACAGCAGTAGCATTGTTTCAGGGCCAGCCTGGGGGCAGCAGGAGGAACTCATGCTCACTAGGAAAAGATACAGTTCTGACCCACAGCATGGCAGCCTCAGCCCACAGCAAGGGCTTTGCTACTGAATGCTGGCCTGGAAGCCATGCATCCCCATCCCTCACCATGAGCAAAGTAGAGAGGAGAGTGAGCAGTAGTTGGAACACTGTTTAGTACGTTGAGCAGCAAAGAACAGAAGCTTTAATCAGCTGCTGACTATGCTCTTGGTGACTTGAACTTAAAATTATTTAAGTTTGTGCTACTTCACAGTTGAAACATTATACTATATTAACCAGGCTTCAGTAGAAAGCAGTTTTAAGTTCTGAATTTATTGCCAGCTGCTATTAAACATAACCACAAGATTACAAAGTCCAAAACCTTTTACATTTGAATGAGATGCCAGAAAAACTGAGAAGATTTGACAGTATAAACAAAACTATAAATAGAAAAGTTGTCCAGGGTTTTATGTTAGCAGTAAGCATGCTTCTTAAACAAAAAAATAAAAAGCTGTAACCCAATAAAATAAAACTTTTCTCTAATTGTAGGTTGACATTGAAGTGGATTTCATAAGATTTTCTGCCAAAAAAGTCCTGAACTGAGGCATGTATTTAAAATCTATTGAAAATGGAACAATAAACCCACTAATTTTTTAAATTCTTTTATTTGACTATTACTGATTGCCATCTCCATTTTCTGTTTTCAGTTGTTTTGGTGCAGGTTCTTCCTTTTCTGTTTCCTCTAGTGGTCTCTTCTTGGGACTTGCTGGTTCTGCAAGATTGAATATGTAGTCATTCAGAGTAAAGGAAAGCTTTGCCTGAAATCTGAAAAGACCCCAACTCTTCCCACCATGTAAGTTTGAGTCCCAGTTATCTACAGCCACAGCTACACTAGAGGGTTTGCTTATTACTGTCAGTAAAGCTTTTAGATGTTCTAAAATGCCCCATTTGAAGAGCTTCACCCCTTTCTAACTCCACAGCAGGAGGGCAGGTAAGCAAATGAAGGAATAGAATCTACCAGAGTAGGGTTCACTGGATTTTAGTTAAGCAGGTCTATATGGAATGAACAGGAGTATATAGCACCTGCTTTACTAAATCCCAGCTCCTCCTCTGCTCCAAGCTAAATACTGACAGGCTGAGCTAGTACATCTTCTCCTATCCTTAAAGGAAAAAAAAGCACCACTCAAAAAGACTGAGTCTGTCCAGTTGTGTAATGCTGCTGACAATCACCATGCTTCAATGCATGGCTGTTTTACACAACCATGCATTATAGCCTTACCTATATACTACTATATAGATAATTATTATCTATATAGTAATTGTCTTAATATGCTTTTTGGACAGTTGTGGAAGGAATTGAGCACAAGACTCTTAAGGCAGATACCGCAAGGAGGGCAGCAATGCCACAAAGCAGAGCCAAATGTGAAACACAAGTACATGGAGCTACTTTCTGTAAAAGTATTGAATAAGCTGCATCAAGTGCACAGAATGACATACCTGTTTTAGTATCATTTTCACCATCTTCTTCATCATTCTCAAACTTTATTTTCTTGCCCTGAAACTGTATTTTTCCTTTTTGTGCACCCTGAGGTATCTTTCCCCCTCTTCCTTTTCCTTTAGTTTTGCGCCCTGTGGAGACATAAGATGGGGAACTTTGTATCATTTGTCTCTTAACTGGCCAGCTGCAGAGACTGCTTTACAGTTAAGGTCGGTCTGCAGTATATATCGACTACCTACAAGTGAATTTCATCCACCAATTCTAGGACATTATAAAGGCTTAAATAAATAAGAGGAAGGAGAACCTTTTGTTTTCTGTTTCAGCAATTCCTGCTGATCTTCCAGGATTTTTTTCAGAGCTTCTTTCTCTGCATCTCCTTCCAGCACCTCCCATGAAACATCCTTGTTCCGGAGCTGCAAGTTTCCATTATGTGCTGCTTTGGCTTTCTCCAGAGCTTCTTTGGCAATATCCTTAAATAGGATAATTCCCTTTAAAAGAAGAGTGGTATTTTCATTTTAATCTTACTGCAGAAACATTCAGCTAGAATGATGAACAGTATATCCTGTTGAGTGCCTCAGCAAATTCATGACTTTTGTATGATTGTATAACATGACCAGACTGAAGCAAAGCCCTCAGACTGTGCTAATGAACATTCTTAGTTTTGACCTTCTCAACTAACAAGGCTGGAGCCTTTATCTGTTCTTCTGAAAGAAGGGAAAAATTAAATTCTCTAAATATTCTGCAATTTCACAAGACAATAACTTACTTGATAACATAAAAGAACAAACATTTAATCATCCATTTTCAAACTTCAATACCAAAATCTTAAGTCCTTGTCTAAGATTACTGACCTCCTTTGCACCTCTGACAAAGTGTATCCACTTGATTTCTCCATGACCAGAAAATACTTCATGGAGGTCTTCTCTGCACGTTTGGTCATCTAGATCACCAGAAAACTTCAAAAGACATCCTGTCTTTTCTTCCAGAGATTTCTAAATTCAATTAAAAACCCCCACATTATCATTGAAGAGTCAAGTTTGAATATCTATATTCCCCCCTCAATCCTATTAAACATACTAGTGATAAGCAGTTGAAGTTACAGTAATTCAAGCATTTTTCCTACATAACCTAGTCCTGCTGATGTCTAATTCTTGTACAGTGTGTGTCCCCTCCTTTGAGTTTATTTTGCTTACTGTGATACACTTACATGGAACTTAGGACTCCTTTCCCATATTAATCACACTCTTTAAATTTTACAAAACAGCTTTCTGAAGGCTGATAGGTTGGGAATTTGTATAATACTGATGAAATCCTTAATGGATCCTTTAAATACCATAGAAGAACCATCATCTCAATGGTGCATTCAGGAACATTCTGAACAGGCAAACATGTCTCATAATGTAAATTCAGAACATGAGCCTTTAAACAAAATTAGTCTATTGAAAATAATATTAAAACAGCATGACAAAACTCTCTTACTGTAAGTTAGTTGGAAAAGCTGAAGTGACTTTCTAGAAAGTGTTCTGTATTACATTTTAAACAGAATATTCCATGTTAGCTTTATAAAATGTAGGTGATTTAAGAAACCCATACCATTTCAGCATCTGCTGCTTGTTTCTGCTTTTCTTCTTTTTCCCTGCAAAAAAGTTAAATTAGTTATGAGTCAGTTCAAGCATGGTCAGGCAAGCAAGACACACACTTTGATTGGCAGTGACTCACTGTTTAGCTCTTGCTTTCGCTTCTACTTTGTTTTGTTTCCTTTCTTCATTCTTCTTTGTACAATACTCCTCCCTTCAACAGAATATAGGTTAATTTAAATACTGTTATAATAGATGAAATTATTTTTCCAAGCTGAGATGCTAAGTCTCAGTCTCCAAAAGGTACAGCTATTGATGCCATGAAAAACTCACTTCTCAGGCCAAGCCTGGTTCTTGTTAAATCCACCCCTGACCACTGTTAGTTCATGTATCAGTTAAGTGACTTACTTGAAAAGTACTATCAGCTCTGTGTCTTTGTACTTTTGATTTGGTATCTCTGTGAACTTCTTAGCAGATTCAACACTATCAAACACTGCAAATATTGAGCCCTGTTAAGTGATAAGAGATCTTGTTAGAGTAACTGAACAGAATGCTGTCCGGGAGGGATCCCTGCCCCAGGCCTAAATGCTCATCATTACCTTAAACGTTCTCTGCAATGTTCTCCTCATTTGAATATTTTCAACGGGACCTTTATCCTCAAGCCATTCTTTGATATCATCAAGAGTAGCATCTAGTGGAAAGCCTTTCTGCAAGATAGCAATGAGCTTCAATTATATGCCACAAAGTGACTCTTAAAAACTGTAACCTCTATAGGACGAGTTAATTCAAGCTTTATCTCAGACAGTTATCAGTTAAAGACATGCAGGGCAGCATAAAGTAAAGAAAAATTTACTTACAACGTATACAGATCTGTTTTTAATTGCAGCCTTATACTGGTCATTTAATTCAGGAAGAGGTTTATTTGGAGATCTTCTGATTTTAGTTTTGTCTTCATTTATTTCCATTAAACCAGTCTTGGATTTTCTCAGTGCTTCTACAATAACACCAAAATCTTTTGAAAGGCGACTTAACCTATTGAGTAAGCAGACAGAGGTTATTACAAATACACAGGCAAAACTGAAGCCGGATGTTAAAAAAGAGATGGAAAAGTAAATGCACATCAGGAACACTTGGCCCCAAACAGAGATAGGTAGCTGAAAGTTAATCTTTTATCCACATTACTTGTACTTTGCTTTACCTGTTGAATTTGATCATTACTTCTAAAGGTACCCAGCCATCATCTAGTTTGATCTGTTCCTTTAGAAACTTGTCTCTTGGTAGATTGTGATTGCCAAAATAGTACTGCAAAAAGGAAGGGGGAAGGGGAGGAAAGAGAGATGTGTCTTTAAATTTTCAGTCTTAAAACCTCATTTTCATCTAACAGCTTACTGCAGTAGATTGAGACATACGAAAATTAATTAATCTGAGCAATTGGGAATTCTGAAATTGTTACTTCCTGGTCTAATGTGATCCTTTGTAAAAAGTTAGCTGCAATGTGTAAGCTGTAAAAATAAAATCACCAGAAACCAACCCCTCAAAAACCCAAACAAACCCACCCCACACCAAAACAGTTCTTCATCCAGTGGCATTAATGAGGCAAAAAGAGATTGCAATTTTGTTTAGGAAAGGAGTAAAGCTTTTTCTGTTAACATGATAAGCATTTATCACCCTGATCAAGCTTAGCTGAGTCAAAAGTCAAATGTGTCACCAGCAGATCCAGGCTGCACTCATTTAAGGAGTACGTATGCAAGAATATGGCATGTGCACACTGAAAAATCATACACACAGACTGGAATTTCTAGGTCTCATTCGAGAAAACACTGTAAGGTAAAGAAATCATTATTTGATTTTTAATTTTAATTATTATGTTCTTATTTCGATCTTGTCCGGCATGGGAAGACAATTCACTTCAAGACAGACAAGTTAATCAGATTATTTCCGTGCAGTCACCTAGCAAAGCTCAAATACTTGAAACCATAAAGTAAGCTGGAATATTTTCACCAATATTGTGGTGCTTTGAAAAGTCAGTGCAAGTTTTACAACACTACCTCTTCCTCCAGTACATCTCAAACTCACATTACCAAAATCTAGTTTTGTCAACTATTTATATGTAACAAACCACAAAATGTAGAGGCTGAGGAATCTCCACATTTTGTTTGTTTGTTACAAATGAATAATGGCTCCATATGGTAATGGGCATTCACGTGCAGCTTCATTTCTGTCCTTCAGGAAAGTGGTTTTGTTCTACGTGCCATTTAAAGCAATGGGCTAGGGTTTTCTGTTGTAGGGTAACTCTGCAAGTTTCTAAAGAAAAAAAGAATTAATCCAAAGTAGGCATATAAGTTTAATTGTAATTTGTAGCAATAAATTACAAAGAAGTAAATCACAATAGCAAGTTATGCAATGTGCTACTATTTTGACCAGCAGAGATTCCCGAGGAGGATTTTTTTCCCACAAAAATTGAGGCACATAGAATTAAAATGCACTCTCCTCCTATTTGCACATGTAGAATAACCCCAGCAAACATGGTAGTAAGTTCTTTAATGATTCACTTGCTATAGCACCTAAAATGCTAGCAAATTAAAC